CTAAAGTGCTGCTAACGAGCACGCTGCAGAGAGAGGGGGATAAACACAGAGAGTACTATACTCAGTCAGACTTCTACTTCTTCTTCTTCTTCTTCTTCTTCTCATGGTCCTCCTGACACATAGTTTTTCCGGGAGGACGAGATTTGTGAGAAACCGTTTACAGCTTTTATTTGCTTTCCGAGCTTTAAGGGCTTTTTGTTTATCTCTTCAGTGAAATACCTTTCTCTCTCCACTATTGGCTCCAAAGTGCTACAAAAATAAATTCCAATAAACGCTCTGCTTCTTTTTACATCAGGTTTCATTCCCCTGCATCCACAGCTGCTCTCCAAATAAAAAGTAAAGGACGTAAAAACTTCCCCTTCAGTATTTGATCCAAGGCAATCTGATACAATGCAGGTAAGTCATCAGGAAATATATCAGAGGTTATGCAGAAACCTCCCCTGTCAGATATCAATAGTCAGAAACAAAACAGAATTCTCAAATTGCATGAGTTTAAAGACCAAGAAACCATATTTAAAATAATAATAATAATAATAGATTTAATTTGTTAGCGCTTTTACAGGTGCTCAAAGACGCTTTACAGATAATAGTGAAGAAAAAAGAAAAGAGAAGAAAGGAACAACAAATAAATATATAGTTAAAGTTAAAGTCAAATAATACAAAAACAATCACACATGAAAATCCAGATTGAAGAGGTGAGTTTTTGTGAGTTTTTTGACAGAAGTGATAGAAATGATATGATAGAGGTTTGTTGACAAGTCGTGATGCATTATAGTTAATTGTATATATTTGTTGTTGTCTAATCTAGATGTAGACTTTGTATCCTCTCCATTTCTATGAATACTGATCAATTAAAGTAAAGAAAGATGTGGACAGAAAAGACTCTGTTGCCTTAAATATAAAATCACAATACAAAGAACATTTTCTTTGCAAAACATTATTGCAGCTGTAATCGTAGTCCAATTTTAAACAGGTACATACACAATTAAGTTTATGTTGAATAAAGTCCATTGTTCCATGTTCCTTATTCAAGCTGTATTGTTGTTGATTTGTTTGTCCTGTATTACGTATCATAGCCTTTGTGGGTGTTTCGCTGCAGAAACTCTTATTGGACGATCTATATTTAATGACATCATGCAAGTGGACAGGGAGGAACATACCACTTGTTAAAAAATTCTAACAATTCAGATTTAATCTCATGCACGGAAAACAATTCAACATTGCGATCTTTAATGAACTACATTGTTGTATGACTCATAACAAGGAAATAGCCGCTAAGTTAGCAGAGCTAATGTTAATATGACTAAAGGATAGTGACATGCCTAACCTGGAACAGTTCTTAATTTGGCACATTATCACTGTACTAACAGAAGTTTCTCATCCATACAGAGAGGGACATGCGAGTAGACTCACGCCGATTACGGAGGTGAGGATTTCAAAATAAAACAGGAAATGAGGCAGGAAGACATTCAAATATTATGCAGTGTCAGAAAGTAAAACTGCTGCTTTAATATTTATTATCCAGTGGGCGATAGCGATGTGTTAGCATTGTGTTAATGTGTAAGCAATGTTAGCATTTATCATTTGCACAGGAGAAAGATAAGTGAAGTTATTTATGTTTTTAACCCCTTAAAAGTATTTATTAATTAACTAGGTAATCTTTAATTTAAATACTCAAAGGCTGCTCTTCTGTTCTCCTGCTGCACTCATGTCCTCTGTGTCCCTGCTTGAATCAGGATGCTTGTTTTTATTGTTTTATTGTGTTTCCGTGGGTGCAGCCCATTATGAGGGTCTGACAGGAAGTCCAGCGCTCTGGGAGTCTGGTGAGGGGGGTCTCTGATTATTGTTGACTTGGCCGCTATGCTGAGAAACTCTCTCCTGTTGCATGGTATTTAATAAGCAGTGTTCACAAAGTTTAGGATTTAAATGTGAAGGGGACTTAAGGGACAGAGCCGATTGGTCCTTTGTTCGGGTGACTCTTCATGATTAACTGCCTGCACATTTCTGCAGAGTTACTGAATCCTGCTGATGACCTTCTCTGTCTGATATTTAAAATATAATCTACCCCCTACAAGCTTTAACAAATCACCATTAAAAAAAGAAAGAAAGGCCAACAGGTTCATTTGCTGCTCGTTTTAACACCTACATGCTATCTAAATGCTAATCAGCTAATTGATATTTTTGGCGAGGATAATAACTTCCCGTAGCTCAATAGGAGGAACTTAAAACATACCAGATATGACTTTCTGATCATGCTTCGTGTCCTCCTGGATTGCATAGTCATATTCAAAGTGCACTGTTTCTGCATGACAAATAGCAGGAAATGATAGTGAACATTCTTAATACTGCTACTGAACACCAGGTTAAATCAGAAAACATCCCATATAGAATAACATGCATCCCAAGGAGGTCATGCTTTCGGTTTATTGTGCCCGTTAGCAGCAAAAACTAGTAGTAAGATTATCGTGTGTGTGTTACTGTGCGTGTGTGCATGGGCGTAATTTCCACTGGGGACAGGGCGGACATGTCCCCCCCGACTTTTCAAAATCCCATTTGTGTCCCCCCCCACTTTTTAAATGTGTTTATTATTTAGAGAGAGAGAGAGAGAGAGAGAGAGAGAGAGAGAG